GGGGGGCGTGTCATTCTCCGGATCCAGGAGGCGGTCAGCCAGGCAGCTATCACTTACTGCCTCCCCTCTCAGCTCCTTTTCCCTTTCCCCAGAGCCGTCAGTCAGTCAGTCAGTCAGTCAGTCTCAGTCACCACTTTTTTTTCCCCACTACGATATGCTAGTATTCAATCTAGTATTCAATCTAATGCTCTGTTGATGTGTTTCCCTTTCCGCCACTATCCCCTCCTTCTAACATCAACTTTCACCCACCCTTCACTCAGGAAGCCTGGCAACTTCGAAAGTCTTCATTCACTGAGAGAGTATTTATTCTCTCCGGTTTGTCAAGCCGTCGTCGCTCTTTCACGCATTCAAAGCATTTATCGGTGGGCAGCTTTTTATTGTTATCAGTGCCTATCCTAGCCTAGCCCGCAATCTCCCGCCCGTGCTTGACCAAAGCTAGCGCAGATCACAAAGCCAACACCATCACAGCTCACAACTTCTCTACTCATACTCAGTATCTGTTTCATGAACACTAATTGTGTGCCTATTTCAACGTCTCCTGTAGTACATACCATCGTATTTACTTCGCCCCTGATCGGCATTTATCCTGCTCTACAACATGATTTACAAGACACTGTACCCGGTGTATGATTCCTCAATCTAGCCTTCGGCCCATTTACCATACCAAAGGACCATTATCCTACCAACTAGATCCGACGAGTCGCAAGAAACCATTTCTCTGGGTCTCAGGACCGACTTTTGACCAACTTCTCCGAATGCAACCATGGCATCTCGTCATCCCTACGCATCTAGCGTATCGCAAGTCCTCCGGGAATTAGAGGAGTTCCAGACCATGGACTATGAGAGCACCTATTATGGCTTTGATGGAGACCTCCTGCTGGCTGACTTGGATCAGGCCGATCGCTGGGGAACGTTCGCGAACAATAATGAGCCGAATCACGACCCATCCTCCGCAGTTCAAAGGCCTACAAAGAAACAAAGGACAGATCGATCGATGCATGAGGGTGCTATCCCAGCAGTGCACACTCCGCACCGCAACACTGACCTAGACTCAAATGCCGTGCAACAACAACAACAACAAAGAGCTCTAAAGGGTCCTCCTGTGCTCATTGATCTTACAGAAGATGATCACCCGCTAACCGAGATCTTGGAGATCTTCCCAGACATTGATCCTGTTTATTTAAAGGGTCTGATCGATCGCCATCTTGCGCTGGTGTCTCAAGCAAAGACAGAGATTCTGCTCACTGCCACTGATAAAGACTTAGCAAAAGGCGCTGTCATCGAAGAAATCCTTCAGAACCCTTCTTACCCCGAGAAGCAGAAGAGGCTTAAGAGAACACTTGACGAGCGTGACTCAGCCCCCAAGAAGGAAGACGATATTCAGAAGTGGCTAAAGGCTATTCCTCAAAGAGGAAGTCCTCTGTACCTTGAGATCACGTAAGAGAGACCCTGGCTGGTTGTCCCTTTATCTGAAGCAAGCTGAATATCACTTTTTAGTGCTCGGTTGTTGGCGATTGAATTCCCTACTGTGCCCTGGCCATATATCCAGAACCTCGCCCTGCACAAAAGAGAGTTATACGCTGCATATCTCAGTCTGTACGCCCTGGAAGACCCTTCGGCCAAGTCATCCAAGCCTTACACGAACGAACGGAAACGCAATCCTCGCTCACATACAAGCCTGTACATGTCATACCCGGAAACTCTACCGATCATGCAAGACCTCAAACGCGAGCTCAAGGCGGCTGCAGAAGCTGCAAAGCAGACTAAGGAGATGAATGCAGGTAAGTCATCTTCCCTGGATACGGAACTCCAGTCTCTGACGCTTGATGGCAACGAAGCGGTCCTCCGTACCAACTTCGAAGATGTTGACGACAAGGAAGCCGAAGAGCGTAACATTCGAACGGGAAACCTGGTAGAATGCCAGTGCTGTTTCGAAGAGGTCCCCGCGAATAAAGCCTTGCCGTGTGAGGGACTTGAGGTTCATTTCTTCTGCTATACTTGCATGAAGTCGTCGGCAGAGACACAAATCGGGATGATGAGGTACAAGCTACAATGCTTTGACGGGAGTGGATGTCAGGCAAAATTTGATCGCTACGGGCTTGAACGTGCCTTGGGAGCGAAGATCATGCAAAAGCTCGATGCTCTGCAGCAGCAGGACGAGATAGAGCAAGCCGGGCTGGAGGGCCTTGAGTCCTGTCCTTTCTGCGACTTCCAGGCGATATGTGCTCCCGCCGATGAGGATCGAGAGTTTCGATGCAGGAACCCTGACTGCGAAGTGGTTAGCTGTCGCTTGTGTAAGGAGAAAAGTCATCTCCCGAGCAGCTGCGATGAGGCTAGGAAAGACAAGCGACTCCCATACCGCCACCGCGTGGAGGAGGCTCTGAGTGAGGCACTCATTCGACCTTGTCCATCCTGCAAGGTCAAGATTGTTAAGACTGATGGCTGCAACAAGATGACCTGCTCGAAATGCGGGACTCAGATGTGCTATGTCTGCAACGTCAAACTCGGTGCCACCTACGAGCACTTCAACCGACCGCCAAACCATTGCCGCTTGTGGGACCAGAATGAAAGATTCCCACTTGGAAGACAGGTTGAACAAGAAATTGAGCAAGTCGAAGCAGATGCTATCGCCAAGATTCTGGCAGAGAACCCTGATGTCACCGAGGAAGAGATCCGAGTGAATCGTCCGGGACAGAAGCAGAATGCTAAACAGCCCCGGCCAGGTCGACCACAAAATCGGAATGCAAGGCCTCCTCCGCCAGATCGCGCGCGTCAGCCTGTTCAAGCTCAGGTTCGCCTCAATATTCAGGTCCCTCGGATTCCACAGCCAAACCGGCCGCGTCAACCTATGCAAGCGCCGCAGCACATACAAGCGCCTCGGGTCATACGGCAAGCTGATCCTGCTAACGTCCCCTTCAGAGAACCTTACAACAACCACGTGCAAGCTCAGACAAATCGAGAGCCACCCGACAGAAATTACTATGCCAACAGAATACAAGATGTTTACGCCGGCGGACTTCCTTGGAACGCTCCTGGCAACAATTACCCTCTTACCAATCCACAAATAAACCAGATAAACCCTGGCGAAGCTGGTTTTCTACCGCAGGGCCACCCTCCCAACCACCCAATGGTGATGCCAATAGATCATCCTCCTTACTACTTTTGGAACCAAGGCCAGGCTGTACCCATGGCACCACGCTTTCCTCCGCAGAACGTCGTAAACAACCCTGCGCCTAATCCGGTCGGACCGGGACAACCCATCCAATATCCACCCTACTACGTACCACCTGTCATTTCTCAGAACGCTCGACGAGCATCCGGCGGACTGGGAGGATATGCTCGCGACTAACTCCCGTGCTGGAAGCTTTTCGCAGACATCGATCCTACCACTGTGATTGTCCGTTGAAATGCTACTTGCTGACAATGTAGCGTTGACCATGACAGCCTCCTAGCTTTCACGCATTTTGGTCTTTTTGAATACATTTAGGGCTTCTATCCCCTGCCTTGATTGGGTTGGTCTTGGAGAGAGAACCAGAGTCAAGAATATCACTCCATTTCGCTGGCTCCAGCTACCTTCTTTGCTTTTGCATTTTTCTGTTAACCATTCAAGGTCGAGCAAGCGTTAAGGAGTTCAGGCGTCCCATCTTCATCATCATCATCGTCGTCGTCGTCGTCATCGTCATCAGTTGTCTCACCCATCACCACCACTCGGTTCTTTCTTGGCTTGGCATAGCCTGGCATAGGTTGACTTCTTGCGCAACAACTTTGCTTGGGCGATCCCTCTGAGTTCTAATCCCCAATGGCAAGGTGACAGGCATGTAGGCAGACAGACAGGCAGATAGATGAATCATATTTTCTTGAAAGAAATCGGGGACCTGGACTTCGAGCTCCCCAGAGTCTGGAGATATAGGAAAACCCAGCACTTTCAAATGCCGTCATCGTCTCATCGTATGGCTTTCCAAAGCTTTGGAGGTCAAGCTCCAGGGCCATGTTCCCCTGCTCACGAACGTAACCCACTCTCCTTCACTGGATCAGCAGCGTAGGTTCTCCAGCCAGCTACCACGGTTACGAAATCGGTAATCACCACAAACATCAACTAGTTGTATGTACCTATCCCAAGCAAAAGGTACAGTGAGTTGTGTCAACACCGAACACAACCTTGACAAAAGTGCCTTCCAGATGAGGCAGAAAGTCCCAACCCAACCCCATCCGTCTCAATTGGGTGAGGACACAATAGAGAAAGGAGTAAAAGCAACGAAGGGAGGGCCATTCATTCAACGCAATCCTCCCAGAATGATAAGAGTCAGCAGGCTTACTCGTTTCCTTTCCTCCTTCATTCCACCTCTAAAAGCAATTCCTAAAGCAATCGTAATCCTAATATCTCGAACGCGCTACCTACCCTACCCTTCCCAGACTATCAAATCACCGGTTGGGCCTTCACAAATCCCGCAGCAATTTGTTGCATCCCGAGACAGATACACAAACCCATTCGCAGCTGGAACTCTCCCCAATTCCCCAATCCTGCGCATTGAGTGTTCCAGTGTTCCGTGGCTGGATTGGGGGTGAAGGAGGAAAAGTGCGGGGGGAAAGTTTCTATTTCTTCATGGTGTTCCATCTCATTGGTTGTTATATAAGATGTATGTATATGTCATGTGTATAGGTTAGAGTAGTCTGAACTATGCGCTTTTTTTTATTTTTCTCTTCTCAAGGCGTGATTTCATGCTTTCGGAACTTGGAACTTTGGGGAAACACACACACACTTGAAGCAAACACGGGCACGAACAGGGGAGAAAACCGGATTTTCATGAAGGGGTCGAGGAGGGGGAAGTCTAAATGCGACGACGAGCGTGGGGGGGAGAAAAAGGCAGGCTGGCAGATGTGCCAGTGGTGGTAGCATTCCCGTCAAACCACATGATTGATTACAAACAACTCACCCAAATAAGTTACCCCCTCGGGTCACTCGGCTCGAGGCATAAAAAAAGCATAAATCACCTAGGACAAACAAGGCAGGCAGGCAACCTTTCCATGGCGCTGAAATTGGCCGGTAATATGAATTTGCTAGGATCATATAGTTGGAGAGAGAACGAGCTCGACAAATGATAGGAGAGAGAGATACAAATAGGAGATGGTATGGAAGATGGTGAGTCCCTTGAAGAGAGGATGTGAACAAGTAGAGAGATATGAAAGTAGGAAGAAAAAAGAAGAAAGAAAAGAAAATGAAGAGTAATGAAAGAGATGATAAAGAAATGACAATCGAAGTGATAAGAAAAGGAACGTGACAAAATGATGATCAGGAAACATTCAAAACGAAGAGCGAGCACAGAAAGACAACAAAAGATATCAACCAAATCTATGATGATGCCATGCGAGTCCCAAAAATCGTCCGCTCCCCATTTTATATATTTGCGCCGCTCAATCGACGACAATTCCTAAATTTCCTCATCCATCATGTATGTTCGATCATTGGCCACGCTAAATAGAATGAGATATATGAAAAAAAAAGAGAAAGATAATGAGTAAAGGAGCAGAAACATGTCTGGTCGGAAAGTCCCAATGGACTAGACAAAGAGGATACGGCGATCGCGATTAAAACGAGGTTCATGGCGGATGCTCCGAATCCACGGGTTCGTTGAACTTTTGCCGCGCCTCCTCCACCCATAGTTCCAGTCGAAGTTCACCAGCTTCTACCCGGCGTACCGGGACTGTCTTGGCGCGTCCGTTTGACACTTTCGGAGGTGGCGGCTGCGGTTCGCCATTTCTCAACTTCGAGACCGAATACGGCGCGGTACACGATCTGAGGTGGACTTTGCCTGGTTCTGCGACAATCCACGTCTGTTCTTCGGTCGTAGATCCGGCCGGGGGAAGAGCGTCCTCGCGCACTTCGATGCAGACGGTAAAACTGAACTCGTCATCTCGAGGCAATGGCGTCAGCCGTGCGCATGCAGATGCCAGGCGGGCGAGGCAGGCGCGGAACTGTGCTTCCAGGTCGACCGTGGGAGGAGCGGGAGCTCGATCGGGCAAAGGAATGCCTGCCTTGGAAGGATCCTCCTTTCGATCCTCAAAGGTGGTGTGAATCTCCCCGGCGGGCACGCGGGGGAAGCCCGACAGATCGAACGCATATCTTTCGAGGGGCTGGTTGGTGCGGAGAGAAGAAATAATGATGCTGACAGCGGTGATTGTGCCCTTCAAGATTTCGGTTCCGACCGCGATCGACGCATCATTGATGTAGTCGCACACCTTCGGGTGACGGGATTGCCGGACAGGATAATTGTACGCCCGGACAGGGAGGAACGTTGCTCGCGGGTAGACTGACCGGAGGAACAGGATCTGGTGTATCGAGACGGTGAGGAAGTTGGTGAAAGATGCCGCCAACGCAGACTGGTTGTTGGGCAGCGACTTCGGGGCGGTGACAGGAGTTGAGAACGTTGTCATGGTGGTTGTAACGGAAGGGATTGTGGTACTCTCACTGGCAATAGGCATTGCCGTCGAAGGCTCTGGTATCGTCGTTTCCACGGGAAAAATGGTATTGACGGGATCTCGGAGATTCTGAGTGCTGTTCCACCCTGAGGCTAATCATCGCTCTGCCTTTATCGAGTCACGCGAGTCAATAAACTGTTGTCTCTTCCATTTATAAGAGATGAGTGGCGTTTTTCGGGGGGGTTATCCTAATCTAAAGATTGTCTGTGACGTGACTGGGGAATTGAGGGGGTGGGAGAAAGTGGTGGGGATGGTGATATTGAGGAGGGAGGGGAAAGGAGGGGTGAAGAGGGGAGAAACCACGAATTTCGTGATAGAGAAGTAAGTGGTTTGGATACAGAGGAATGCAAGTTGCTAAAGATAAGCAACTTGAGTCAGGAGGGAAAGAGGTCGGGAAGCCGGAGGGAGAGGGAGCAGGAGATAGAGGGCAAGATGTGGAAGCGACCAGTGACGGTGAAGTTGTGTTAAGGTAACTTGTTAGTGGTGGTAGTTGTGGTGGTGTTGGTGATGAAGGGTCAAGGAAGAACCATGATGGGGAAAAGGGAAACCACAGAAGAGGGGTGATTGTGATAATGGTCGGTGGTGGTGATGGTGGTGAAACAAGGGGAGGGAGAGGTAGAGGAAGGAGGATTAGACATACGTTGGGTGGACTGGACAACGAGACAACCAAATCTCAGAGCATGGAGGACTTCGTTCGTTGCGATCGTGACAAACGGCGAGGTGAGAGGGGGGGGGGAGGGGGGGAGAGAGAACCGTAATCGGAGTATTAAAAAAGAGAGAGGGGAGAGAGAGAGATAATGCGGTGATGATGTTGATGATGATGATGGAATTTCTCTTTTTCCCCTGCCCTGGTTGGATGTCCTTTCCCAATTAATTTTCTTTTTTTTTCCTTTTTTTTTTTAGAAAAGGTCCCTCTTTTCCTTACAAACTGCCTCCCTGAACAACAAACAACAACCACAACGGCAACCACCACCTTTTCCACTGAACCTTCTGCGGAAAGGGAAAAAATAGCAGAAGGGAAAAGAATAGGGAAAAGAAGAAGAGAAGAGAGCACAAACGGGATGTTTCAGCTTCTACTTCTCTTTCTATTCTTCGTTTCTTCTTTCCTTCTCTGAAAAGTCTTGCGCCAACAGAGACAAGAAGCGGAGGGAAACTGACAGATGGATGGATATGGGACCGACCCTTCTGATTGAAGAGGGGAGAGGGGCGGCGGCGGCGGGCGTGAAAGGGAGAGGTGGGCTACTGCTGACTGCTTAAGTTGCTCTGAACTGTATCGGATTGGGATAAGCCAAGGTTTCCCAGGGGAGCCCGCTTAAGATCCCGGAGCTAGTGAGGGTAAATCGAGGAAGGTGCTATAGTGAATATAGTGAATGTGAAAGAGTAAAGACACCCGGAGTTAATACAAGAAGCCAGAAGAAAAACACCAAACTAAATTGCAAGAGAGAGGGAATGGGGCAGAAGAAGAGGAAGAGGCAGGGAGAAAGGAAGAGAGAGTGTCAGAGGAAAGGAGAAGGAAAGAGAAGGAAGAGCGAGAAGAGGGAGAGTTTGCGGGCAACTCAACTACTCAAGTCTTTCGGAGGGGAAAGCTTGTCGGGCGACGAGGAGTCGTTACCTTAGTCAAGAGCAGAAGGCGCCCAAGTCATCCATTCTCATGGCTGTCTCTTTTTTAGACTACACTAATCACTAATTCCGTACTGAGTACGGAGAACGGACCATACATACTACTCATACTCATACTCACCACTCTCCTCTCCCCCCTTCTGCCTGCACCCCTCTCCCCGTCACGTGGTTGCGTCATGGGTGTGGATGCCCTGCAGCATTCAGCTCAATCTTCCCATTCTTACCATTCGTTACCTTACCATCTTACGAATAGGCAGAATAGGCAGGATGTACAGTACTGTACAACCTCCCGAAAATGAGGATTGTCGTTCAGCATCTTGCAAATCCAATCCCTCGTCCTCTACATGAGGTTGAGGCTGGGCTAAGACGGAACGAAACCGACTATGGCAATCTTAGGAAACAAACGGTGTAAACTGTAAAGGGAGCAGAATACGTAGAGGCGAAAAGGATTCGGTCATTGTGCATTATAACTTCCCCTCATTGACCATTCAAAGCACGGGGGCAAACTGCAGACAAGTAGACACACCCTAGGTACATGTTTGAGTAAATCCAGTGCAGGTGAAGAAAGAACTCCCTCTTCCTTTGCTTGACTCGGTCCGAAAATCAGACACAGAAAAAAAGGAAAGGAAAAGTATACAACACCTGGTACTGACAACGAAGGTGGAAGGGAAAGTGCCCAAAGTTCATCATCAACATTCCCCACTCGTTCTGTACCGAGTAACAATGCGCATTCGCTGGTTAGTACCGCCTCTTCCGTTTGCAAGGCCGATCATCTGCTACCAACACTTGACTTGCACAACAAACGGATGTGACAAGGAAAGGCGTGGAAAGCAGAAATGCCAGCCGTGGTTGACCGACGGCGGTGGGTATCCTGGCTATAAGGAACCAAAGTCTAATTGCATACTGGCTGAGATTCTTCCCACTGCGAAAACGGGTCTTCCACTACATGTGCTCTACTCAACCCGGAAATTCATTCAGTGGTCTGTCTCCAAGAGGTGTGTAGCGCAGCCTTATTAGCCCTTCCCCCCGGCTCTGTAGATATCAGTCTGATATCACCCCCTGGGTTTTAGTGATGATCATGGCGAGTATTCTTCGTAGAGAATTATTCATCCGTCCGTCCTCCATATTGCTCAGCGATCTCTTTGACTTGCGGGCACTGACTCCAGTAGTATGTATGTATGCACTGTGCTGGACACTGTATCATCAAAAGTTTCACTGCAGGACTTCATTGCCTTCTTACTACATACAGCACACACTATAGTAAGGTATACAGCTGCCTTTTGTTCTTACCCGAGGTTATTGGCTTGCTTAGTTGTGAAACCCATTCAGCCTTGAAGTACAGTAAGTACGCTCGCATACCAGACATTTTCCCTCCAAGCAATGAATCATTCTACTACTTTCCTGTTTGGGGGGAATTGCCGCCCCTCAGGCGCTCATCTTAAATAATCAATAATAATTTGCCGGTTTCTCCCCTGCCTTTAACCAAACCCCACCATGATCAACTTTAGTTAACCAAAGTACCAAGTTACTCATACAATTAATCAGCCTCCTCTTCCTCCACTCCCCGGGCCCGTCAAAAATCTACAACTTACCCGAAATTCTTTACATAACCATACCCAACGCCACTGGAGCCGCTTCCTCCCCCCGGGAGCCTTTCTGTACCTTTCCTATGGTCACCGGTACGGTACACATGTTCGCTGCCGGGTACCTTACCTAGGTACAGTATTTGGAGTACCTGGGTTCGTCCCCTAGTACCCGATAGATACCAGCTATCAGACCACCTCCCAGGGGTATGAACTCGGATCTCAATCAGAGCCTACCGAAAAGAAAGCGCCCTACGACGATAGTCAAAGTTTCCCCATCCTCACCCTCCGCGAACCTTAGGCTGCATGACCGTCAACCACGACGTAACTATATCAACCATTAGAGTTCTCACGTCACAGATATCCATCCCTACGAAGTACATAAGTACATCATCCGTTGGGCGGACACTTACCCGCGGATTAGATTGCTCCATTACTCAAAGTGATCATCATCACTCTTGCTTTTCTCGAACACCCGAACCAGATCTTCTCCACAGGACGCCACACGCCCAGAGGAGAGATCCATAACTCGGGTAGACTAAACAACCTCCCTCTTTTCCCTCGCACATTGCTGCCAAGTGCTAGACCAGAATAATGCTAACAAACTCGCTTGCCCGTCAGCTTTTTTTTTCTCTCTTTTTTTTTGCCCTCACCTGATCACTACCTCAAATAAGGACCCATGCTATCCGTTGGCTCACTGCGGGCCACTACATTTAACGCTCAAAACATTTGTAGAGTCGGGTAGCCCGTACCAACATCTCATCCCGCTGATACCAGCCGATTTTTTTCGAATCCCCACTACGTTGCCCCAACTATCACGGGCATTCTTTCTTGGAGTATAATGCACCTTGATTCGCGTAAGAAGCGTTCCAAGGCCTTGGTCTGCCTGGGTGATATTCGCAGTTGCCGCTGATCATTGCGAAGGCAAGAAAGGGACCGGTGTCGTCAGGGAGCTGGGGCGCGCAGATCTTGATATAAATATCAACGATCGTTGCGGAAGGGCCACATGCTGGAAAAAGCCTGTTTGTTTGCCCTGACGGGACAATGTCGAAGTACTGAGTATCATGGGTCAACTGAACATGGAATGCCTACGATCAGAGGCACACGTGATGGTTTTCGTCGCGACCCAAATCCGGGGTAAGACGATAGTCGAGGGATCTTCCCTGGCACCGAAGACCCTAGTAGGACGAAGGCTAAATCGGAGGTTGGATTTGTCTCACGAGCGCAATCGCGAGATGTACTAGGTACTGATTATCTGTAGAGGTGTGGCTCCATGCGTAACGGGCTTGGTGGTGTGGTTCCTGATAAGATCTTGCCAGGGATAAGCGCATCGATCGATATCCTTGTCGTCCAGCAGTCAAGGATAGCTTCTTACACTTACACAGTTGATGCAGACGATCCGCATCGCGCCCCAGCAACATAGATAAAGGATTTGTGCTCTCAATTGTGAAGCGCACCCTCCTTATCTTCGGCGATGAACTTCTCCACCGATTGGTGTACCTGACGTCCCTTGGCTGGTCTCGCTAGTGGGTTACTTAGTTATCCTGTCTCGCAAACTCACAGAGTATGATCTGGCTTGTTTGGATCTTGGGAAAAGGTACTCCTTATACACCCATTAGCAGATCAATTGACAGGTGATAAGCCTTCCCAATTCTGGAAATCAATTCTGTGCCCTCGGCAGTGCACTCAGACCCGTGCCTGACAGGTCCGTCGTGATTGATGCTTTGCCCATACAAATAGAACAGGGGGCATATTTTTCAACAGCATTGGAAGTCCACAGGGCTGTGTTGTCGAGATGAGATAGATAGGGAGAATTAGCACTCTGAGGCCATCTCATGAAGAAGAGAGTTGCGGAAGAGGATTGACCCCATTGAAGGAGGTAAGTCAGACATGTCACCAGTTGTTGTCTCGGTTGTAGCCCCTCTTTCTTTCCCCCCACCGGAGCAGGCGATAAGTGAAGTTGGGGAGATCCTCGAGTCTCACCGCCTTCTCTTCTGCCGCTCGCTCGTCTGCCCCTCTTCACGGTTGTCGCGACAATTCGCAGTGCTGATTTGATCTACTGCTAATGCCAATTACCACCTGAACCGTTTATCGGGTATCAGAGATTGAGGGGACAATCAACACGCAGGAAAATCTGAATCTCCCCACGGCTATAAACATCTTAATATTCTCGTCATAGCCATCTCTCTCTAACACCTATCCATTCTTTATACAAATTCCCGTCTACGTCTTCTCGCCCACCATGGAGCAAGAGCTCCTGTCGCTGCTTGCAGACACCCAGTCGTCGGTGGCTGATACCAGAAAGGCTGCCGAACTACAGCTTCTACGTCTTTACTCCAACGAGACCTTCCCCCTCGCTCTTGCCGCGATCGCTTCTCACGATTCCGTCCCTACCAACCTCCGCCAGTCTGCCCTTTCCGTTCTGCGGACCTTCATTGCCGCGGCCTGGTCTCCGGTTCTCGACGAATTCAAGGGCCAGGTACTTGTCAGCGACGATAACAAGGTGCAAATCCGGCGCGCACTCTTGGAGTTAGCCACGGTCAAGGAGACACCGGAGCGCAAGGTGAAGTCGTCCGCTAGCTTTGCTGTCAGCAAGATCGCCAGCGCCGATTTCCCCGAGCAGTGGCCGGAGCTTTTGCCCACTCTACTTCAGATCATCAATGACACCAACAGCACAGCCGGGGCCCTGCACGGCGCCCTGAAAGTCCTTCTGGACTTGGTCGACACCGGCTTCAGCGAAGAGCAGTTTTTCAACGTTGCCCGAGACCTCGTTACCTCGCTCTTCAATGTGGCCACCAACGAATCGAGGAAGCCCATCTTGAGAGCATTGGCCGTGGCGGTCTTCCGTGCTTGCTTTGATACCCTGGAGATGGTGCTTGAGCAGCACAAGACGGCGGTTAAGCAGTTTATGGACGAGGTGCTCAATGGCTGGTCTCCTTTCTTCATCGCGACACTCAAGGCACCTCTACCACAGGCTCCCAGCGAGCATGAAGAATCCAAGGACAGCGAAATCCCGTCTCAGTGGAGGGGCGCTATTGGTTTGAAGCTGCAGGTCGTCAAGGTACGTCACTGGAGTGACCTGCAAACTCACTCTTTTTGTTCTTGCTGTGCTAATATTGCCCTGTTCGTTAGACCCTGATGAAAATCCGCATGGTGTTTCCCGGTTTGATGACGCCCCAGAGCCCAGTATACTTCTCGACGATCTGGACCGAGTTGTCCAACATCCAATCAACCTATCACGGGTTCTATATCGAGGAAGAGAGACAGGGTCGCTTGGAAGATGTGGACGGACTCCCCTATACATTAGACTTCCTGGTCCTGGAGGAGCTGGATCTCATTCAGACGCTCTTGAAGGCACCGCCCGTCAAGGCAGAGCTTCAGCAACAGCTACAGAATGCTGGACAGGCGGCTGCCACCTCGAGCTGGTTGCCAGAGATCCTGAAACTAGCAGGTTCATATGCTCAGATCACTTCGGAAGAAGAAGGTTTGTGGGACATTGATGTAAACCTCTTTCTCTCAGAGGAGACCTCTGTCACTGCCAACTACACGCCCCGCACTTGCAGTGGAGATCTAGTCATCAAGCTGGGCGAATGGCTCAAGAATACTGCCGTTGAGGGTCTGCATGCGCATCTCAATACTGTGTTCTCTGATCCGTCTTCCACGTAAGCAGCCTTCCTCAAACCATCCTCGTCAGGGACTAACGCCATCATTAACTCTCAGGTGGAAGGCTCGCGAGTCTGCTCTCTACATTCTGAGCCAGATTCTCCGGGACTTCAACGAAGTTTCTCAACAGGTTCCCGCGGGGCTTGCTAATGGGTTCAGCAACTTTATTCAGTTTGCTATTCAACAGGAAGAGGAGTTCTTGCGGGCCCGCGGCTATCTCGCTGCTGGAGTTCTCTGCCAGGTAGCAGATGAGTCTTTCCAGCAAACCGCGGTTTCGTATCTCGAGGCTTCCCTCAAGGCGGTGACTGAGGATCCCTCAGAGGTCGTCAGAGTATCCTGCATCCGGGCACTACAGGATCTCATGCCATCGCTTCCCTCCAGCGCCACCGTTCCACTTCAGGCCGCCACCATCTCCGCGCTGTCAGACTTCATTTCCTCTCACGACATCTCGGAACATTCTGACAGTGACGATCTCAAAGTCACCCTCGCAGAGACCTTGCGTGATACCATCATTGTCAACCCAAGCGTGGTCTTGTCCTCGAATGCCATCGATGTGCTATTCAACATCGCCAGCAATGGACCTACTAACTTCCAGTTGACGATGATTGTCACGGAGGCCTTTGAGGACATTGTGGAAAACATCTCAGAACAAGGTCCCGAGTCCTTCGTTCGCCTTTGTGAGAATGTTCTCCCATCCTTGACTGGAGCGATCGATGTTGGCAACCTGACTCAGGAAAACGCTCTCACGAATTTCGCCGCGGACCTCATTCGAGCTCTCGCGGAAAGAGCTTCTGAGCCCCTCCCTAGTGGCTTTGTCGAGGCCGTCATGCCCAAGTTGAACCGTCTGTTACTGGAGTCAACTGATGCGGAGTTAATTCGTCCTGCCACAGAAGCCGTGCGCCACATGCTTTCACACGATTTCAACCAGTTCGTCTCGTGGAGAGATCCCGACAGTGGCAAGGAGGCGATCGAAGTTGCCCTCATCATCATTGATCGTTTGTTGGGGCCTGCTGTTGATGACAATGCGGCAACCGAGGTGGGACAGTTGGCAGCCGAATTGGTCGAGCGGGCGGGTTCCGAGCGACTTGGACCTTACCTGCCACAGCTTCTCCAGGCTGTTGCCCAGCGACTTGCAACTGCGCAGCAGGCCCAATTCATCCAGAGCCTCATCCTTGTCTTCGCCCGACTGACGCTCGTCAGCGCGCGTGAAGTTGTCGACTTCCTATCGCAGGTGAACATTGGCGGCCAGAGCGGCCTTCCCATTGTCCTCAGCAAGTGGCTGGAGAACTCGGTCAACTTCGCCGGCTATGATGAGATCAAGCAGAACATCATCGCGCTTGCGACGCTGTACAACTTGGAAGATCCTCGTATTTCCCAGGTGCAGGTGAAGGGCGATCTGATTATCCAGGACACAGGTCGCATCCGCACCCGGTCCCAAGCTCGCAAGAACCCCGATCAGTACACGACAGTGACCGCACCCTTGAAGATCATCAAAGTCCTGGTTGAAGAACTGGCCGCGGCCTCGGGCAACAAGGAGATCGACGCCGCCACTGCGGCTGCATTGGAGGAAGAGGGCAGTGACGATGACGACGAATGGGAGGACGTTCCGGGCAACACCCTCGACCTCAACCTTGGAGTCACCAAGCAGGAGCTGATGGCATTCGGTGAGGGTGGTAGTGAGAGTGTGTTCGGAGTGCGCAAGCGTGACGATGAAACTCAAGGCTTTCTGCTGGACTTTTTCCGCAATGCCTCCACGAAGCCCGACTTCCAGCAGCTGTTTACGGCACTGACTCCGGCCGAGCAAGAAAAGTTACACAGCTTGGGTTGAATGATGACACCAGCTGCCATTGTGCTTCAGTCCTCATTTATTGGTGAGTGTGCTCGAGGCTTCAGTTCGGGTCTGCTATGCAAGTGACGAAGCATTGAGACAGAACTGCGCATTCTAGATAGTTACAGTACATGACAAAAAAAATAAATATCTGGATCATCCCCCCGAGGAGAGACTAGCACGGTTGTAGCTCGTAGGAACATTCGATCATTTATTCTACAGTAAGAAAAGCACCGGGCCCTGACGAAATCGAACAGCACTACACAAACTCTCTGAAGAATAAGTCCGGAGATAGAGTCAATTATCGCCGATCGATGTCGCAGGATGATTAAACACCGGAGGGGAGGGGCATCATTTCGGGAATCACCCACGACCCGAACCCAATTAGTGCTCGACGACCTGATTACTACGTCGAGGTACTTTTTTAGTGGGTATTTGGGCTCGGGGATTTTTAGGAGATGTAAGCCATCCCCCCATGAGCCGTCATGAAGAAATAATCAAAAGAAAAAGCAAAGCTCACGGGGGAGGGAGCAATCAATTTCTTTTTCTTCTCCTTGCTGTTCAATCAAGGAAATTTTCCGTGTGTCAAACATCCCACTTGACCGGTACAAGTACAGGTACAAATAAATACAGCAGGCTGCGGAAGCGATAGGGAAGGTTGGAAGGGGCAAAAAGAGAGAGTTATCTATCTTTTCCCCTAGCCTGTAAATTTACCAGTAGTAACGTTAACCATCTCGAACCATTCCCAGATAAGTAAAACTACTAGCCAACAAGGATTCAAGATTATTTTGCAAAGGGAATCTCAACCCGATCCAAGCAATCAAGAAATATTCAATTCCTTGCAGTTTGGGTCCCCCTCCCACCCCGTTGATATTACTCTATGGGAAGCAAGTACGTTCAGTTTTCAGTTTTCAGTAGTCTTGAGCGAGGACCGATCCCCGGGTCCAAGGCTTGACAGGAGAGTACCTTAAGTCCACGGAACGGAGCTCTGTGTGACACTGGGAGTCTGGGACTGACACTGACACTGACACTGACAACTGTGACACACTATGGTAGGGACGGCTTTAGCCGTGTGGGGAGGGAGAGGAGAGGGGGAGGGGGGGCTGCTTTTTCTTGTTTGTCTTGGTTTTGGTGGTTATGTTGACTAACTAGGTGGTGTGGTGCTAGATGTGAAACAAACAGATGTATAGCGTGATTCCTCTGTAGGTCTGGATTGCTATTTGCTGTGTATTTATTGTACTCTACCTGGGTGATGATAAGATTATTGAATGCCTCGTCTACGTGTTTGTGTCAGTGTGACTTTATTTTTCTTTGGTTTCCCCCTGGTCTGTGATGTATCATTGATTTAGTTCTGTGGTTTGTCGCTGGCTTGTGTTCGCTGCCCTGCCCTTAGTTAGGCGAGGATGTTAACGTAATCGGTAAGCGAGCGGAACGCGCAAGCGAGTGGAACGCCCAACTCGTAATTCTGCTTTATATACAAATTTGAAGTCAAATATCAACCTTTTTACACCGTTCAAATTGCCTCTTCTTGGTGTTTTACTCTTGCTGGACACCATGTCCGTATATGACCAACTTTATTACACGAAGAACAGCGAGGTGGCGCGCGCCGGCGAGGCTGTTCCTCGCCGGCCGCAGAATCAGCCCGTTGGATTCCCAAGGCTTCATCTTCCTCACGAGCCCGGCGAAAAAGCTGTATAGCTTCATGAACTGTAGCTCCTTCGAGGCCTGCCAATTGGCGATTACTTCGTTTCCTCTTCTTAGTCTGGTGTTCGTCTGCAGCCCGTAAATCATGATTTTCCTGTTCAAGTAAGGCTGCCCTGTTTAACGCGATTTCGCAGCCTTTGATGATATATGATAATGCAGTTCTCATTGACTCCGGAGGACTTCGTGTACGTTCACGCAGTAATCTCTCGATTGTAGTTTCATGCTTCTTCAATTGCCTCGTATTTTTAGGTGTTTTTAGTATAGAAGAAGTGGTAGTTTGACTTCCAGTAGGAGTAATCTCTCGCAGGCTATACATCAGCTTTCCAAGCACCTCGTCCGGCTGGAAAGGCACCAAGCCGGAAGCTGAAAAGGCGTTCTGTATAGACGATTTCTTAAAGGCAAGTTCTCGGGCTTTGGGAAATGTATCCAAGAAATCAACC